GACCTAAGGATCGATTTAAATTCCAGATCTCCAAATACAGTTTAGTAATGATCCCTCCTCAGTGCAACTCTCCTTGCAGAAAAATGCCCAACCTGTGCATTTAGGCATTTTCAAGGATGCTGGGGCACTTTTAGTGGGATTTAGCTCATGTTTCATGTTCTTTGAGGTATTTTTTCTTGCCTTCTTTGCATCTCTTCATCATGATATCATTTTGGATAAATATAACTGCCCCAATTCCCAATTGACTGATGGTTATAGTCTTGAAAATGTCACTCTCCTGCTACAAGTCTCCACTGCTCCCACATGGTTTACAGGATAATTCTGGATTCTTCGGCCTGGCAAATAAACCCTTCATGATCTGACTCCATCCAGATTTGAAGAGCACATTTAACAAGTCTGATTTATTGAGACAAGTAGAACCTAGTATCCACCAGAAAGAGGACTAGAACATTTGCCAACATAGATCACTTATTAGCTGTAAAACAAATTGCAACAAATTTCAAAGTGTTGTTATCATGAACAGAGGCTATTTCTCATAGTGGAAAATTACATGGGCTCAGGAACCCACCTGCTTTGTTTGGATCCTGATGGCTCCTCTTATTTGCCTGGTGACTTCGGGCCAGTTACTTAACATCTCTGTGCCTCACTTTCCTCATCTGTGAAACTCAAAGGTTTGTGGTGAAGAAAATGGTAGTTCCTCAATCATGCCACACTCTCCTAGGCTTCTCTGCCTTTGCACTTCCTGTTTCTACTATGGAACGTGCCTTCTCCATGCTTGTCCTTCTGGAAACTCCCATCATCCTTGGACTTTCAGAATAAAATCCTTGGCTTCCTGGGGTAGGTCCTGGGCTTCCTCTGCCCTTTTGAACATGTAGGGAATCCATTTGCTTTACTGTATAGAGGTTGCTAGAATCCTGTCTCCCCACTGGTAGGTACACTCCCTGAAGTAGGAATAGCAACCAGGACTTAATGAGTCTTAGCAGAACACTCCGAATTTACTGAGAGCTAGGATAGGCCAGACATTGTTCTGCACCTTTGCATATGGTAATTCATATATTTCCACTACTCCATAACAACTCTATGAGCTGGGTACTATTCTTATCCCCACTTTACAGATAAAGAAACTGAGACAAAAAGAGGCTATGTAATTTGCCTAATTTTATCCAGCCAGGGAATGGTTAAATTGGAATACAGAGTCCACATTTCTCATCAAGCTGCTGGATGGAGATTAGGATTGACTGAAAAATCTATATATTCCAGTGCTTCTCAGCCTAATTGTACACACGAACCACCTGGGGACCTTGTGAATGTTACTACTACAGATACTGATTCAATAGGTTTAAGGCGGCACCAAGATTCTGCCTTTGTAACAGGCTCCCTGCCATTGTTGCGGGTCTACGGGCCACACTTTGAGAAACAGGCCCTAGACCAGTGGTTCAAAACTTTGGGTTTATTTTTGTCTCAGAACACTTTTACACCATTAACTTTTGATCAGGACACCAAAAAGGTTTTGTTTACATGGGTTTTATCCATCAATATTTACTGTAATAAAATGTAAAAAAAGTTAAAACATAATTTTTTTCGTATTTAAAAAAGTAAACCCATTATATATTAAGATAAATAACATATTTTAATGAAAAATAACTATTTTTTAAAAATAAAAAACACAGAAGAATGAATTTCTGCATTCACATTTCTGCAGCTCTCCTTAATGTCAGGTTTAATACAAGATAGCTACATTTTGCTAATGGCGTCTGCCTTCAAATCTGTCGTGATGGGACATGACATGTAGCCTCTGGAAAAGTGTACCAGAGACTCAGGAGAGAATGAAGGTCAAAAAAGCAAATGACATCTTCATATTATTAAGAAGGAGAGACCCTCACTCAAGGGTCCAAAGGCACCACTTTAAAAACCCCAGCCGTAGAGCTCTTAAGAATCCTCCAGGACTTCGGAAGTTCTGTTCATCGTGGAGTGAGGCTTCTGGTGTTTTGTAAAATTTCTGACTTCAGAAATTCTGTGAAGATACTCTTTCTGACTCTCGATTTACTTTCCCAGTTGCAATTTACATCTTCATCTTCCTCCCATGATGGTGAATGATCATGGTCTCAGCCCAGATAAGAATCTCTTTAGAAAACCAACAACCCAAAAGGAGGGACTCCCTTCAGAGAGAACATCTTATCAAGAAGAACATTAAAGGAAAAATACACTTCAGTGAGTCCCTAGAAGATTTTTAAATTGCTTTAGAACTGACCATCCCAACTTGATGTACTGACTTAAATCTAGTATGATTTTCCTTTATATGCATTTACTACATTTATCTTTAGTTCTTTTGTGCAAATAGGGTTTGATGGTTTTTAAAATATAAAATATAAGCTAGTTGAAGTAACTTGCTATACTTAAATATCATATGTCTACTTATCCCTACTTTTTTTTGTACCTTACTCTTAGGCCTGGATTTCCAAGGTGTATTTTTTTATACCAGGTCTACTCAAGAAAGCATTTGAAAAGGCTCCTTAGTTCTCTTTGAGCTCTGAACTGTTTTGGTTAGGACATTTGCTTCTCTGCTGCGTCTGTATCAGCTTGACTTCTGCAACTGTATGGCGAGGGAATCACGCTTTTTGGCAAATTTTTCATTATCATTGCAGGGCTAGGCAAATAGTATCCTGTTGTTCAAGCCTTCAACCTCTTATTCATTGAAAAATATCTCCTCAAACTGTGATGGTCTCAATTCAGAAAATCATGGAAACTTAGGATCAGTTGGGATCTTCAAGGTCACCTAGAACCTTGCAACTCAAATGTGGTGTTTGGATCAGCAGCACATATATCAGGTGGGAGCTTGTTAGAAATGCGGCATCGCAGACCTATTGAGTGAGAACCTTTATTTTAACAAGATGTCAAGGGATGATTGTGCACATTAACGTCTAAGAAGTACTGCTCTAGACCAGCCCCCCATCTCATAGAAAAACCCTTTCTGCAGCTTCTTCCTCCTGACTGCCTTCCAGGCGCTCACCAGCCTTTACCTTCCAGCTTCAAGATATGGCTTTGTCTAGATCAAGGGTTCCCAACTTTGATAGCACATTAGAACAACTTTGAGAGCTTTTTAAAAATCCCATTGCTGAGGCCTCACCTCTGACTAATTAAGTCAGAATCTCTGGAGCCCAGCCATTGGCACTTTATTGTTCCCCCTACTGTGCAGCCAAGTTATGAAATGCTGATCCAGAGCAATCCATTTGCATTGTAGGCTATTTACTTCATTGATTGCTTTGATATTCTGTGAAAATGCAAATATCCCCTCAAAAAGGCAGTACTGTTATCTCTTATTTGCACTTTGCTTGAAAATAGACTCCTTTTTTTATCAGCATAAATAATTTATTGCAAACTCTCTAATATTATCCACTAGTAGTCTTGATGATTCACACAGCGGTATTTTGGATAGAGGAGCCAGAATTCAAGGAAAGAGACTACAGTGATGAGAAGACAGGTGGCTGAAAGGCAGACTTCATGCCTGCTGGTGACCAGTTCTTGGTCAGCTACCCTGGGCAGGAAGGAGCTGGGCCAAGCCAAGAATAAGTTCTCCTTCGGCCAGCCCACTTCAGGTGTCCAGCCCATCCTCTGCTTCTGCATTCATGGTCCTCCGGGATGAAGGAACCTGGGGAGGTAAGAAGCTCTACAGCATCCAGGCTGGTGGGCATCATCAGCTGGACATGGGGTCTCCAGCATAGTGCTTGGCCTGATAGGTCTAAGAGAAATTTTGCAAATGTCATATATCTTGTTGGCCCCTGAAGTAGCTGCTGTTTTTCTTTGTTCAAAATCTTCTTGAGTAATCAGCCCTTTTGTTTGTGACATGACTGTTTAAGAAACTGAAATCTGCATTTCCTTTTTTTTGCACGATTTAGGGGAAGATGATTTTGTTGACATTTTATTAGCTGTTAAACTAAATAGTTTGTTTAGCTAGTGTTGCATTCGACTGATTGTTATTTGGGAATATATAAGGCATGTTAACAGTAATTCTGAATAGACTACATTCATGATAAAGTAAAAAATTTGGAGAGAAGAGAGTGCTATTTTACTAGGAAAATCAAATTACTACCCATAGTCATATTAATTTGCTGTTTATAAAGATGTGACATGAAACAAACCCTTATGAAAATACAACAAAACAAAACAAACCCTCAATAATAAATAAATTTGGAAGCTCTAACGTTTTAGATTCTAATGAGTATCATCCACATATTAAAATAAAATTTAGAAAATTTACATCTTATAAGCTCTCCTTTATACACATTTATTCTACAAACTAAATAATCATCTATTTAGCTTAGATGTTTGAGGATAAAATGCCATCAGTCTCTGTCTTCCTCCCATTTCCCACTTGCCTAGCCTTCAAATCAGATAAACATATTAGAACATTGTTTAATCATAGATCTGACACATTAGACAGATAGATGCTTTAGGGATTTGACAACTTGATTCTCAGTTTTTCAAACATCCTGATAGGTAATCACAGAAATAACTGGCTATTAAAGTTACTTTAGACTAAGCAAATGTTTTGGGAGGACAGGATTGTTTTGGCTGCCTAGCAAGGTACAGAGAACTTAGAGTATTTCTGTTCTCCATTATGAAACATGCAGCTTGGCTTCCCAAGAAAACATGAGAGAGGAAGATGGATATGTTTTTAAGAATGGTATATTTTTGTAAGTATAATTGTTTTCTTCCATTAATATCTTTTTAATAGTTTTTCAAGCTATTTTTACAGTTTTAAAATTTTTAATGAAATCTGAATTTTGGTGCATATGTTCCACTTTTTTCACTGGTTCACATTTTCATTTCAGTAATGCTTTATCTTTGTATTTGAATACATATAAATTGAAATTAAAGCTGACACTTTAGCTTACATGTCACTCAAAGCATTTGGAAGAGTCTTCTTGTAGTGACTACTTTCCTAAGACTTTTTTAAAAATCATAAAAACAATCCCAATCATCTCCAAATGAATCTTTTATGTAAATTCATATTTCTTAAAGAAGAACACACTTGTAAAAGTCACCAATTTGAGGTAGTAATCTCATTTACAAGTCAAAATTTGAAACTGTACAATCAAACTTGTTAGCTAATTATGTGGATTTTTTGGAATACAGGTGAGAATGTTCTTCCTGCTCTCTGTATCTTCCACTTCTGTTCCTGTTCCACTCGCAATTTCTTCTCCTGATGTCTGGGTTTCTTCTTTGTCCTCATTTCCCTCTGTATAGTTCTCTACTGCTTGGGAAAGCTCAGGTGTACATCTACATGCATGAGGATAGATAAGGGCACACACACATATACATGTACTTTCTTATAGAATAGTCATTACATTGCTATAGTCTGCTTTTCCCCCAGTAAAATTAGATAGCTTGAATTGTTTTTTTCAATTAAACCCGTGTTGTGACAGAATTTGGGACCAACAAGCAACAAAAGCCATCCCTCTCTGCTCACCAAACGAGTGCTTTCAGGACTGTCTGCTACCTGCAAGTCAACCTCTCCTCTTTCTGTGCCTGCTTCGTGAGTTTTTCCCATCATCTGGACTCGGCAGCCACTTATGTCTCTTCCTTTAGCCCAGACACTAGAGTCATGGTAGCATTTCCCAGGATAAATCACTGGGGTCTAGACATGATTGAGGAGGATGTGCCTGGGGCTGCCGTGCCCAAACACAGATGCAAGAATGTCTGAGCTGGGAAACATCTTGTGCTCTAGCCAATTCAGCCCAGGAAACTGATGTCAGGGAGGAGATATGACTCATCCAGGCACATATACTAAGTAATAAACAAAACAAAAGAAACCCAGGGACTGTGCAAAGCATGCACACTGGATCAGTTAAGAGGCACCAAAGCTGAGGGAATATATGAATAGATTGGTGTTCCCAGGACCAGCTAGGACTAACTGGCATCCTACCTGTAGTAATGTACACCATGTGTAACTTCATTTATTTTGATGGCTCAGTCATTCTTCCCTCCCAAGAGAATCCCTGTCCACTATGTCATACCTTTCATTGTCCCAAAATACAAACCTTGATTTTCCATTATTTCCAGTTCATGTTGAAAATGTGTGGAACAAAGCTTCATCTTTGACCCCAAGTCTCCTTTGCCATCTTAGCAAAAATCTTCTAGAGCTTCTGGAATATCACTCTGGAGAGGACTTAGGCTGTCTCCTTGATAAATGTGAGTGATGGAATGAAATAAAGCCAACGTTCAGTGAATGCCAAGTACACAGTATAGGAATAATGCACTGGGTTATCCCACCTGATGGGCAGAGCCTTTAAAGTAGGTGTTACATCCCATTATACAGAGGAGAAAACTGAGGCTAACTTCTCCCTCATCCTTCACTGTGGATCTTTCTTCAATTGTCAATTACCTTAAAAACATGAATTAACACCATCTCCTCCTGCTTTTTGGCTAAGACATTTCCTTTGACGCTATCTCATACCTCCTTCCTCCCACCAGCACTACCATCCTGACATGCCACCCACTTTCTTCTCTTTAAACTTTTTCCTCTTACAACCCTCCTCTTCTGGGGCTGGGTACAAACCAAGTCTTCCCCTCACCCAACTGTTTTTCCTTGACACCTCCCGCTTAGTGACACTCACCCATCAGACCATACCCTCAAATCTTCCAGCCCCTTCTACTCCTCACTTCCTCCCTAAGGAAACACACACATAAAAATATAATCAAACTCAGATGGAAAAAAGTTGACTTTTGCTTATTTCCACAGGTTTTCTCTTGGCAGCAGAATATTTGCATTTATTTGCACCCTCTCTAAACAACCCAGAAACGGAGCCAGCATTCCCCTGCTTCCTACACCCACCTCCCCACATTAGTCTTCCCTGCCCCTCCCTCTCACACCTCCCCATTTCCTCTGTCTGGATGGACTGGATATGACCCATTTGGAAACTTTGATTCTTCCTACTGCCTTCTCAGAGGCAAGGAATGGCTTTTGCTTGGTCCTTGCTGTGTGTGTGTATTAAATATTGCCTCTTATTTTGTTTTCTTTCTTTTTTGGCAAAAGACTTCCCCATTTCAAAGATTTTCTTTGAATAAACCTTTTACAAGACTCCTTTTAGTTTTTCAGTAGTGACAGCTGTCCATCCTGGGAAAAGTTAAGAGGCTCTTCTGTGGACGCTGCGACGGTGAGCCCTAAGGTGAACTAAACCATCATCTGATCCACCACTCCCAGTTGATATAGGACAAAATAAGGTCTAAAGAGGTTGATTGAATCACCAAAGTCCTCTTGACCATTGGTGACGTGTAGAGCTAGAATGCAGGTCTCCTGGTCTCTAGCGCACCGAGATTTTCTTGACATCACACATTTTACAAACAAGCCAGGCATTTTCAAATTGCCTGCCAGCTCTGTAAAGAGACACCTTTCAGGATGGCAAGCAGTTGCCTTAGTCCCTATGGGGCCCCCACAATCCGCTGGGTTCTGTGTGGTTTCGGGTTAGCTGGAGACTACACAACCCTGGGGGGCCGCAACCTCCTCACCATGCTACAGGGTCTCCCAGCAGTTTCGGGAGGTGGCAGCTCCTTACTATTTCTTGCACATTAAATCTGGCAGCACCAGACAGAATCACATAATTTGTGAGGTCTGCCGTTCATGTTCTCCTCCCCTTTGGGAGGGTCTGTCCCAAACTCTTCATTGTTTCCTCCTCTTAAAATGTTTGAGACCTGACTGTCTTCTCTTGGTTTTTCAGTCCCTGTCATTCCTCCTGTCACTCCACCTAGCCTGCCTCATATATGCATTCCTACTTTGTTTTTAACTGAAATAAAGACATTCCTATGATTCAAAATAAAAGCAGTGAGAAAAATGACCCATGCCGATTTCCTCCTTTTCACTCCCTATCCCCCAAATTCTCTTCCCACATGATTAATACCTCACTCTGTTCTGCATCTTGCTTTGTCCACTTTGTTCTACTTCAGTGCATGCAGCTCTAAGCTCATTACTTTACAATATAGGATATTTTAGGCTAGCTGTATAGTGCTCCCTTATAGTCCATAATGGATTTGATCAGTTTCTCCTCTAGTGATTGATATCTTTATTGCTTCACAAGTTTTGATATTTCAATCTGTTCTTCCACATTCTGTACCTCTCCCACCACCATTTTTTCCTTCCCAAATCACTATCAAACTTATATATTCTACATACGATAGACTCTGGACCTGATATCCTGATGACAATTAGCAAGTATACGAATCCTCACCTACGTGTTAACAGGCAGGGTGTGAATGAGCCCTTCCTTCCTTTTCAGGAAGAATACATCATTTTAAGAGGGATCACCTGGACAAAAGTTTTTAAAACATCTCTCTTCCATTTCTTTCCAGTGCTCTTTGGAATGGGAAGGATATAAACCATAGAGAAGCCATACTTTTAATCTATGGAGTATTTTAAATGGTAGAAACTTCAAGAAAACTGAGAGACCAGGATGTGAGATCTCTCAGAGCAGGTGAGCTTTGTTTATTCTCCAGCGCACATAGCAGGCGGCTACCTACCCAGATATACCAAGTGAGAAGTGCAGTCACAGTTTTAGCCTTGAACATCAGCTTGGCTGATGCTTGCAGAGAAAAAGACACTCTTCAGAAGCCACATCTCCTCCCCTGGAGATGCAGCTGCCCATATCTAAATCAGTAGGGAGTGTCCAGTTAACAGGCTGTGAGCACTACTCTACTGCACTTACAAAAATCAATTGCAGATCTAAATGTGGGAGGTAAGCAATAATGCTTTTGGGAGAAAATATGGACTAGTATCTTCATGACCTTGAGGTAGGCAAAGATTTCTTAAACAGGGCATAAAAAATGCTAGCCATTAATGAAAAAAAACCTGATCAGTTGTACTACATTAAAACAAGGGCTTTTGTTAATTAGAAGTTAGGAGAGTTAAAAGGCAAGACAGAATGGAAAAAATATCTTCAATATAAATATCCACCACCAACAAAAGACTCCTATGACTTGTATCCAGACTATATAAAGAACAACAAATCAACAAGAAATAGGTAGACAGTGCAATAGATATAGTTGGATATAGGATAGCCAACAGATAAGTGAAAAGGCACTTGACTTCCTTAGTTTTCATGGAGACATAAAAAGAAAACTAAATGGCCAAAATGAAAAAGATAATATCAAGTATTAGTGAGACTGTGGACTGACTGGAACTCTCATATACTGTCAGTGGGAGTGTAAATTGGCATTACCACTCTGGAAAACTCCTTGACAATTTATCTTCCAAACCTAAACATATGTCTACCATATAATCTAATAATTCTATTCACAGGTATACATAACAGAAATGCATACTTATATTAACCAAAGACACAAGAGTGATTAGAAGCATTTCTGATTGTAGCTCCAAACTAGAAATAACCCAGATGTCCGTAAGCAGAATGTAAACAAATTGTAATATATGTATATGATAGAATACTATACATCAGTAAAAAGGAATAACCATACAACTTGGATGAACGTCTCAAACATAACACTGAGTAAAAGAGCCTAGACATGAATGATTACATTACTGGTTTAAGTTAATGAATATCATTTATATAAAGTTCAAAACCAGGCAAAACCAATTTAGATATTAGAAATCAGGAAAATGGTTTTTCATTTGCTTGGGAGGTAATTTGTGACTAGTAGGTGTAATGTAAAGACTTCTAGTTTGGCATTGTTCAATTTCATGATCTAGGGGATTATTCCACAGGTTTATTCACTTTGTGACAATACATTGAATTATGCATGTAGAATTTATGCATTTTTATACTTCATTAGAAAATTTACACTAAAAGGCTAGGGAATCATCAGGTTGCCCATTTAAGAACAATTACTCAGTAATTTTTTTTTTATCAGTGCTGCTAGAAATACATGCAGAAGGGTAGATTTGGGAATACTGGGTAATTTACCCTGGTAACTCCAGTTTTGCCCCTGGTGGATCCTAATACACATATAACCATGATTTACACACTTGCAAGGTAGATGGCTATTTTCTTAGTTTATTATTGCATACATTATCATTTGTAGCACAGAGTCTTCCTCTCTTGACATACCAACAGCATGTTGCTTGGACACTTGTACTTCCTTCGTTCTCCTTTGTGGACACTTGGCTGCACAACTTCTCAAAACAAATACATAGGAGGCTTCTTGAGTGCAGGAGACATTGCTGTATTTTCTTTCTGGTGGTCTTTCTGTTCTCAGCACACATCTTTACACATAATGGGATCAAATCTCAGTTAATGCTTGTTTTATATTGGGGCTAGGGAGTACTTACATTTTTGCTGAGCCATTTTTATTTGGAGCCATCCAAATAAAGAGAAGGTTTGAATTCTCCTCATCATTTGAAAATGCATACATCTAGGGAGGAAGCATGGGGAGGGATTATGGGAGTGCTGGTAACGTCCTGGTTCTTGATCTTGATCTGGGTAGGAGTCATACAAGTGTACTCATGTTGCTATAACTTGCCATGGTACACTTACTATTTTTTTGTACTTTATTATTGTATGTAACATATCTGTACATAATATATAGTTCTAGTTTGATAAGACACTGTTGATGAAAGTGTGGAGTCATGCTCACATATTGCTTGTAGGAATTTAAGTTCATACAATCTCCTTGGGAGAAAATATGGCCAAATTATCAAAATGAAAAGGCATTTGGCTGAGTGATGGTGAGTCTGGAAATGGACTCTAGTCTATTACATATAACATGTGAAAACTGTTATACATTCAAAGTCATTCACTGCAGTGTTGCCTATTATAACAAAATTGGAAAAAACAGAAGAAAGAACAAAGAAATTGTTGTTCCTCACACAACAGAATATTCAGCAGTTATTAAGAGGGAGGTGGATATGTATCTACTGATTTGGAAGGACCTGCAGGTTGAAAAGTATGTTTGTGTTAAGTATATGTGTATATATTTGCTTGTATGTTTATAGAATATCTCTAGAAGAATACAGAAGAAACTGATAAGAGTGGTTGCTTTGGAGAGAGGCAGGATGAAAGGAAATTTTTCACTATATATTCTGCATGATGCACATTTCAAATTGTATATGTAGGTATAACCTATTCAAGAAATAAATTAAATGTAAAACTGATTTCTTTGCTACTGTCTTGTTTTCACTCTCATTTAGGGACTTTCTAAACATTCTATAATTGGTAAGTTTGCCTTTACTGTGTTCTAACAGCCTCCAAATCTATTTCATGGAACAAAGGTCAGACTCATCTTCCATGACATTGAGCAAAGCAGGCAGGTCACTCTTCTGCTGGTGAACTTATTAATTGAGTTTAGACCTCCAATGAATTCCAACAGATTTTTTCAAATCAAACATTCAAAGCCTCTTTGCCCCCTCTAGTTCCCTTCCTCCCAGAAAGCAGGAAGAGAGTGAAAGGCAAGTGTGCATTTATCTTTAGTCTGATTTGCGAGTGCCATAAACTGGTTGTCAAACTGAAGTAGAGGGAACCTTGGAGGATGTGATTTGACAGCAAAAGAAGGGAATAAGTAAGTTCATTATAACATGTGCCCTAGATTTATAACAAGCAGATCTCAAGAAGTAGGTCCTTATCTTGATGTCCTGATTGATAATCCAGAGTTTGGAGGTACTCAAAAGAAACATATAACAATATAATGAGTCCTTTGAAGAAACAACAAGGGGCTCTAAAGAAAC